ATGGGACAGAAATAAAAATGAAGGGTGTCATTTCTGGGCTAAGGCGGCTAAGAAGTAGATGGAGCTTCTCCTTAGTCTCTTTCCCCTTCCATTTGTTAAATGCAGAACTTATAGAGGCTCTAAGGGATGGCAGAATCACATAGTAGAAGGAGGGTGGGTCTCTCAGTTACCAACCAGGAATACCCCTGTTGAAATTTGGGGGTTGGGTGATGGGCATTGGGGAGGGCACCTATTGGAATGAGCACTGGGTGTTGTATGGAAAGCAATTTGACAATAAATTTCATATTAAAAAAAAAGAAATTTGGGGGTTTATTTGTTACAGGTGTTAGCATTACCTTAGTTAATACATAATCCATCTAACAGAGCAGTACCATGTTATTTTTTATAAAATACAACTCTGATACTGTTTCTCCTCCACCTCACTCCTCCAAAAACCATGCACACACAGAGAAAAAAAAATACAAGCAAACAAACAAAAATAAAATGATCTTATTGACTTTGTATCGCTTAATGAAGTCCAGACTTCTTAGTCTGGCATTCAAACCTACCTTGACATAACCTACCTACTCCCCTATGTATGTTCTAGGGTACTTTTCCTTCCCTCCCAACTAGAGACCTTGAACTTAACCCTCCTGACTTTTGACCATGTCACCCCATTTGCTAGAATGATCTTCTCCCACAGTTGTGACCATTAAAGACCCCTGAGTTTTTCAAAGAATAGTTCCATTATCATCTCCTCCATGAACCCTTCAATGAGCCCCCAGATTTGAAAGATATCTGCATCTGCTTCTAAACTACCATGGCTCTGTGACTTGTTTTTCTTCACTTATTTATTCGCTCAAATATTTTCATGTGCTTATTTTGTGTCGGGAAGCAATGTGCTTCATTCTAGGGTTATAAGAACAAGACAACCTTCAAAGAGCTCATAGCCTACTATGGAAGAGATATGTCCATAGCTATAGTGAAAGCCTAAAAAGGCACTAGTGGATGCTCACACAAATAAAGTAGTGTGAAAATGTTAAAGAGGGAACAGTGAATTCAGGTGGAAGGGTCAGTACTGCCAGGTCTTGTTCTAAAATGATTTTATAACATGGACTACAAGAAACGCATGACAAATTTCTTTAATGGAAGAAAGCAGGTATGTTTTAAGATAAGGACTAAGAAATCTATCCTAAATTAAGACAAAAGGAGGGGAGGAAGTAGCCTTTGCAGATGAGTTTCCAGTATATATAGTTAGACCTACCAGATAACACATTTTTGGGATCCTACAAAGAAAACAATACCACATCTACTGAATAAATTATAAATAAACATATCAAAAATAAGAGTAATTATGACACGAGGTATTTTCACTTCTCATTTGTCTGGTCTGACCACTTATAGAGTGTTAGAGCTGAAGCTTTAAACACCAGAATAGAATTATTTTCTGGAAAGGACAAGTTCAAGTTAGATATTTAAAATGGCCTTCTCAGAAATATGACAGGACAAAACACACACCTCTTTAAAATGGCCATAACTCCTCTTGAAATAAATGGCTTATTACCTAATAAAATAATCAGAAATGTGCAAAATAGTTATGTGTGGATAACTTTATTTATTATAGGAAAAAAAATCCTATAAGCAAACAAACAAACTGCTTCAAAATAGAAGACATGCTCTGTAAACTATCACATGGTAGTACACCACTGTAGTATGTATTTTATGGCCCAGTGACTAAGTGAGCAGGCTAGAAGTAGACCATCTGGATGTGAATGTCAGTTCTGCCACTTACAAGTGACATGAATTTAGGTAACTGACTTAAACTCTCTGTGCCTCAGTTTCTTCATCTTTATAGTAGAGTTAATATCATCTGCCCTATGTAATTGTCATGAGGTTAAAATAAATGATGGTGGTAACTGGCACGCAATATGAGTATTTAATAAGCATTAGCCATTATTATGAAATACTATGCAACTATTAAAAATAAAAATATTATAGACTAAAGCAATATCTTAGGACATAGTATGTTGTTTGAAATATATTGTTAGATTAAGAAAGCGGAAGACAAAATATTGTGCAAGTTGAAAAATTCCTAAAAGTATGTATATTTGAATATATATATATGTATATATAGATAGATAGATAGATAGATAGATATAGATATAGATATAGATATAGATATAGATATAGATATAGATATAGATATAAATGCTGGAAGGATGTGTGTAAAATATTACCAGTACTTATCTATGTACAGTGAAATTGTAGGTGGGTTTTTAATACTTTTTTCAGCTCTATGTTTTCAAAGTTTTCTCCCATTAGTATATGGTATATTTATAGTTAGAAAACAAGAATAAACTATTCAAAAAATCTACCTCTGTCCTGGTATAAGAAGTTTTTGATGTCACCCAAAGATTCAGGGCTAGCAAACTCCTGCATCGTGTATATGAACAATTTTCATAAACCAGATACTTTATTCCTGGAGAATTCTGTATTTTTGAATTATAAGAAGCTATTTTGAACATATGAACATTGGGCAATATTTTGGCAAACCTGATATTTTACTTGGAAACACATTATTTAACAAGAGACTGCAGATCGGTTTACATAATCTCCTCAATCATTGAATTTAAAGCAAAATAAGCTCAAATGTATCACAGGAAAGTTAAATGTAAGTGGATTGGGTGTGCAATGGACTTATTTAATGAAACCTGGCCATCGTCAAAACATTTTTGAAAGGGAATTTTTTGTATGAATGACTTGGATTTCTTCCTAATAAGGATCAAAGAACAAGGAGCCTTTTCTAGAATCAGCTAATAAAATATCTTTTATATGGGTTGCCCTAATTAACCAGTGGGTTCAGGAATTTCTTTCTCTGGGAATTTTTAAGAAAGACTTTCATGTCCCACCCCACCCCCACTGAGAATTGTGAGGCCCCTGGGTAAGAAGGGCGCTTATCCCACCTTAATGGTACTTCTTGCTATTTTTTATTTCAAACTAAGCAACTGAATTGTGATGTTTGTGCCTGAAGAAATAAATTAATAACTATTGCCTGCTTCAAATAAGAATGAATGCTTGAGATATTGACAAATGCATTTGTTCCCTGAATGCCCTATTAAAGTCAATATGCCTTTCATGTGTGGGGGTGACACAGCCTTTATAATCTGCAGGGTGCTTTCAAAAGAACACCCACTGAATTTGTTGGAATTAGAGACACAAATTAGAGTTTTTACAACATCCATTTTCTCTGTTGCCAGGAAGATTTGTTCAGAACAGTCTCTTGCATTTTAAGTTTTTAGCAAGAACATTCCTCTTTCTCCAACCAATCAATTTACAAGACCACAAAGCTTTGGGAAACATTTAAGAAATAACAAGCAGAACACAGCTGAGAGAATACCACCCAAAACATGGGTTTAGCAGGGGCCGCAGGGATTCACAACTACTGTGCTCTGTGTAATGGAGGTTTGGAAGACAGGGAGGACAAAGAGATGCAAGATAACACAGTTTGTGAAAATCTCTCTTCTTATCCTTTTGAAACGAATCCAGAGGCACCCAGTAAAGTACAATAATGGGACTGGCCCAAGGCACTTCAACCTTTAGAACAACACTACTTAGCTTTTTCACTACTCTGTTTGGGAAATCAAGCAAAAGTAAAGCAAACAAATAAAAACAAGCCACAAGTAGGTGAAAATTAAAGAAAAGAAGTTTACCTGCCATGGCATAATTTAATGGCGGGGAAAGATCCCTAAAAATATAGTATGTAATTTGAGGAATCAAAATTCCAGCCTGAGAAGTAAAAAGTTCATTCATTCATTCTATAAGTATTATCAGAGAGAAGCTATGTACTTGGCATTCCATTAGGCACTGGCAATTGAGGGGTAGTCCAGGTCCTTGAGGACAAGGACAGATGACCAAGCAAATTCTGTAACTTCAGGTATGAAAAGTACTATAAAGAAAACTAGGAATTTTAAATGCTTGTTAGTATCTGTATTGTTATTTGTTTGGGGGAGCTGGACTGTTGGCATCTCGTGTTCTACTTCTTTAACTGGAATCGTATCTAAGGTCTGGCCCTGCAGTATCCAAGAAAGCTTTTTGTGTTAGTTTTCTATGTGTTAGTTTCTATGTTTTAGCCATAATAAACTACCAAAATTTAGAGGCTTAAAACAACTCACATTAATTAATTATTTAATTTAACTTTTATTTATGAGAGAGAGAGAGTGCACAAGTAAGGGAGAGGGGCAGGAAGAGAGAGAGAATCTTAAGCAGGCTCCACGCTGAGCACAGAGCCCAATGCAGGGCTTCATCTCACGAACCATGAGATCATGACCTGAGCCGAAAGCAAGTCGGTCACTTAACCGACTGAGCCACACAGGCACCCCACAACCACATTTATTATCTCATGATTTCTGGTTCAAAAGTCTGGGTGAGCTTGACCCATCCTGTGTAGTTTCACAGGCTAAAGTCAGTCTGTGTTCCTTACTGGGAGCTTTGGGGAAGAATCACTTCCAGGCTCACTCAGGTTGTTGGGCATATTCAGTTTCTTGTGCTGTAGGACTGAGGGTCCCATTTCCTCGCTGACTGCCCACATTCCTTCTCATTCTTTCCACGTGGCCCTCCAGCAAGTAAGTTGAGCCCTTCCCAAATCTAGAAGCTACAACTTGTACTTCTGCCATATCTGACTTTCTCTCCTGACCTCAGCCCTGAGAAAACTGTGTTTATGTGATAATATGTAGTACACCCAGATGTGATAATATGTAGTATGTGATAGTATGTAGTACACCCAGATAATCTAGGATAATCTATTTTAAGATCTCTAGGTTTAATGACATTTTCAAAGTCCCCTTTGCCATGTAACATAACATATTCATAGGTTCCAAGGATTAGCACATGACTACCTTGCCAGGGATGGGGGAGGTGGTGGGCTACCAAAGATAAATAACAATATTTCAAGTGATGGCTTCCATTTAATTACCCCTAAGGAATCTGGACTTAATGAGTCAGGGCTATTCTTCTATTTCTAGGACATTCACTTGGCCAGGAGATTGTATGATATGGCTGCTCAAACAAGTCCAGATGCTCACATACCTGTTTTCTTTGCCCTCATGAAACTGGAAACTGTGCATTTGCTCCAAGATATCCTGTTTTTTAAAGTAAGTTTGTCTCAGATAGGCCCCAAATCTCTGAAAACTCCAATAAGCAGTTTTTGAATGGTGGGATGGAAGGAGATGACGGTTGTGTATGGAGGGGGAGGCTTGGATTTGTTTTGACAGAATGTCTCTTCCAGCAGTTTACGATGTGTTGGAAATGGATGAAATTGGACAACACCCTTGGACCATACTGGGATTTATTTGTGATTGGCCTAATTGTTGCTGTGCTGATCTTCTTGCTTAGAAATCGCTATGGGTAGAATCTGGACCACAGCAAAACCTGCTCATGGGAACAGTTCACTTCAAACTATCCTTGCTAAATAAAGAATTTCCTCATGAAACTCAAGAGTCTGCTGCAGATTTCTCACACAGGCCTGTGGTGGAAAATGGACAAAGCTTGAGACCTGTCTTCAGAAACCATTTCAGACTTCCTTAGTGTGGGTGACCACTTGTGGGGGAGTGAGCTGCTGAAGACTGGTCACCTGAGGTTTCCTTACAAACTTGTTGTTTTGGTAATCTAGTCCCTAGTTAGGGATAATGGCCGCCCATTTTCACATTGTTATAACAGCCTCTTCCCTCTCAAGAGGACAAATGTGTTTCTTGGCTCCTACAGACATACAGAGATACAGAGGAGGAGGAGTTTGGGGAGGGCAGGAACACAGATCCCTCAGAAAATGAGAAAGATATAAATTTACAAATAGACCCTTCATCTCGGGGGAATGATCCCGTGAACCACATCATGAGCATGTGGCATGCCATGTAGGGGGACTGGATCACACTTCTCCCCAAGGGGCCTTCTATCCAAGCTCCCTTAGCAGCTTGCAGTGAACAATGCCACCTGGGTCTGTCCAGTGTTGTACCCCTCTCTGCCATCCCTCAGTAGAACCCTGCTCTCCCTTGGTCCCTGAAGACACCAGCCTCTGAGGACAGAGCTAAAAAGTCCAGTTCCCTGTTTCCCATGGCAGGAAGAGCAGGGACCTGGGGCTGGGAGCAGCATGGGCAAGAAGGGAGCAGGAGGCCCAGGACTTATGTCAAGGGCCAGGCTTGAATCTCAGCTCCACAACTCGTTAGCCTCTCTGAGCCTCAGTCTCCTGATCTGCAAAATGGGAAGATCTTAGCTGGTATGAAGATTAAAGGGATAACCTGTGTAAAGGGCCTGGTGTTCTAGAATGAACTCCACAAATGGTAACTTCTAATACTCTGTAAAACCTCATGGAAAATTGGTTGGAAGATCGGGACAGTGGAGTTGATAATAATCTGTGTGGGCTCAGTGCCCTGCAGTTAGTTCTTCAGCCAAAATCCTGGGTGTTTTGGTGGGAAAAGATCATGCTTGCCTACTTGGAAATCCACCCCCAGGACAGGAAAAGAGTTAGTTAATAATGTCAATCATAATCAGAAAGAAGAATGAAAAGGTGAGAGAACACTGAATGTGGGACCAAACAACATGGATTTAAGATCCAGCTCTGTCCCTTGGTAGCTCTATGTATGACTTTGGGCATAATTTCTCCAAATCTCAGTTTTTCCTCCATTAAATGGGATTACGTCCTGCCTCACTGGAGAATTGTGAGGTTTACATAAGCCTGACTTCAAAAATGCTTTGTAAACACTACACATACAAATACTAGCTACATCAGTTATTTGGCCATGAACTAATCCTGGCCTGAGATCCAAGTGTTTAGAATTTCCTGGACAGAATCCCTGACTAACTAGAGAGTTCAACTTCTGAAGGAACTTTTGTTTACAAACATGCAAAGAAGGAGCAGGCATCTAAACCTCCAGTTAGGGCCTAATGGACAAGACAGCAGTGAATTATATCCCACAGGTGTCTGCAATGCAAAGATGTCCGAGACGGGTATAAGGGCAAAGAGGGGGAGTGTGGAAAACAAAATAAGGAAGTCCTGGCTCAAAGTCTAGAAATGAGTTTCTTTTTTTTTTTTTTTTTTTTTTTAACCTTTACTTATTTTTGAGACAGAGAGGAGCCTGGCATGACGAGAGGGGAGAAACACAGAATCGGAAGCAGGCTCCAGGCTCTGAGCCATCAGCCCGGACGGGCTGGGCTTCATGGTTGTGAGATCAGCCCTGAGCAGTCAGGGCAACAACTGACTAGAGCCACCCAGGCGCCCCTAGAAATGAGTTTCTTAAAGGAAACGCTTACGAAAATAACTGCAGGCAGGGAAGAAAGGGAGATTCTTTGTGGCTTGCTGTGTACAGTATTACACTGTTAGAATTATAGAAGCAAGGACGGTATGAGCTCATAAATTTCCCATTTCAGCTAACCGTTCCAACTAAATGTGACAAAGGCTTTGAAAGTATGAGCAGCTTAGGGTGTTTGAATCATTCAAGTTCCATTTCTAAGCCTCCTCTCTGGAGCCTCTGCAGAGGCGCCCAGGTACACGGATGGGCACCTGCTGTACCTGCTGCACCTGGGTGCTGTAGCTGGGTGAGGACTGGCCAAGGGAGAAAGAGCCCCCGCCTGTCAGCCACTTCTACTTCCTGGTTACAACAATCCCACCCCCACCACGGGCATACAGAGCCCCTATTCCTTCTGCTTCTGATAGCTTTAGACAAAAACTGATGATTGACTACAAGGAAACTTTTTTTAAACTCAGTTTTCTTTGTAACTCCCTTTTTCCTCTACATTTCCTTCCCTGATTCTTTATTAAAGCAGAGTAAGTATTCAAGTCAGCAACTTTTTGTAGAGAGAGTAAGGGGCAGGAGAGAGAGAGAGAGAGAGAGAGAGAGAGAGAGAGAGAGAGAGAGAACGAGTGGGAGAGGGGCAGAAAGAGGTAGGGACAAGGGATCTGAAGCAAGTGGGCTCCTTGCTGACAGGACAGCCCCATGTGGGGCTGGAACGCATGAACCGTGAGATCATGACCTGAGCCAAAATCAGATGCTTAACCAACTGAGTCACCCAGGTGCCCCAAGTCAATAAATTCTTTAAAGGTCAAGTAAATATATATATATATTTATTTATTTTAGAGCAAGGGTCCACAGTCATTTTATGAGGAGTATGCTTTTAGAATTCTACACTTTTCCCCACACCCTGAGTGGTGGGTTTTATCAACTGTGGCCATGAGTGGCTGGGAAAAAGAAGAGAAGAAAGTCCTGAGGGAAGCAGAGGCAGGTGGTACTGGCTTGCCACATTCCCTTCTCTGGGCATCCCAGGAAGCACAGAGAACAGGCTGTGGTGGGGCTGAAAAGAGGAAAAAGGCACTCTTACGGAACACCCGCATGTGCCACACTCTTGTGTTTTTCTCTTTCCTTTCCACTTTTCCTTTCTCTTTCTCTTTCCTTCATGATGAGGCTGGAGGTAGATTTAAGTAACTCTGTCTTGCACAGGAGGAAAACGAGGCTAGGAGAAGCTACGTAACTTGTTAAGATCATGTTACAACGTGGTCACATAATAATAAATAATGAAGCTAGAATTTGAGTCCAGATCTGACTCCAAAATACATTATTTCCCCTGTATTACTGTTGCAGTTATTTCTTGCTGCTTAACAAACTACTCAAAGCTTAGTGACTTAACCACCATTATATCTCAGGCATTTAAGCAGGGCATGGCTGTGTGATTGTTCTGTTCCACATGGCCTTGATGGAGCCACTTGTCAGTGTTCAGTCAAAGAACAGGCTGTTCTAGAGAGTCCGAGACAGTTTCACACACGTGGCACCTTGGTAAGGTGGCTGGAAGACCAGCCTTAACTATGAGGGGTGATCACAGTGCCTATATGTCATGATCTCTTCAACATGATGGACAGAGTCATGGGACTTTTTACATAGCAGCTCAGGACTCCCAGAAAGTATTCTCAGAGTCCCAGGCAGAAGCTGCAGGTTTCAACCCTCAGAAAGTCCTAGGATATCACTTCTGCCACATTCTATTGGTCAAACATTAGACTTCATCTCTCATTGGGAGCAGCAACAAAGAATTTGTAGCCATATTTAACCTACTACAAATATACTGTTGAAAAACCTACCAATGGGGACAAAAACCTATCAAGGATTATATAAATTCACTGAGACAGTGAGCTACTTATCTTGGAGGACAGGATTGTCGGTGAAGTGGAATTCTTCTTCCATTTTGTAGATATGCCTGTGTCTGATTACTGCTTTAAACATTTTTAAACATTTAGCAGAAAATGTTTAAAGGCAAAACCTTATATTTTAATACTAGCTGATGAATAATTTAATTTAAAAATTAAACATTTTTAAACATTTAGCAGAAAATGTTTAAAGGCAAAACCTTATATTTTAATACTAGCTGATGAATAATTTCTGTCTCAAAAAAGAAATGCAGGTGTAACCGAAGTGAATGGATTGGCAAATGCCAGGAGTATGTTGAAAACAATGAATGCAGTAGGTACACTGTGGCTTGCCTGCTTCATTCAGCCTGGAATCCCTTGGTGAGGAGGGAATGTGGGAAATGGTCAGTTTCTGCTGGGCCCTCCCTTATGCCCAGTCTACCTGCTTCTGGCTCCTCCATGGTAAAGGGAGCACAGGTGGCAAGAGGTGTGGCTTAAGGACTAGGAAAAATTATACTAAACCTGCCCAGAAGCCATCCTGCAAAGGCGCCTGCTGAGCATAGCAGTTCACCATGTCAGCTCCCATAGAGCACTTTTGTGGTTTTCTTGGGGACTCCCCTGCTGGGAATTTTCTTTGTTTGGGGTCACCTGAAAGCAAAACCTGAGACAAGGATTGGCGTCTAGATAGTTCATTTGGATGGTGATCCCAGGACTCAGAGTGAGGGAGTGAAAAGGATGAAAAGCCATAAAAAAGTGAATTATTGAAGTCACCGCTGTGGGAAGTAGGGATTCTGTCCTACCAAGATCTGAAAAGTGTACAAAATACCTCCTGGAACTGTCTGTCTAAAAGACAAGAGGCTGGGCACTTGCTCACCAGCACCTCCTCTATCATTTGAGGGTTGCTCCAGAGGCTGAAATAACTACCCCTCACCCCTTCAGCTATTTCTCAGAGGCTTTGGGGAAATCTCTGAGATAGAACAAACACCTGTGCCTTCCCTTAGTGCTGGACACAAGTTATCAGGAGTCTGAGGTTGCAGAGAAAGGCCCTCCATAGCTGCAGTTGAAATCAGAGCTGAGCAGTAAAAACCTCACAAGTGGGGCCTCCTGAACCCCAGACCTCTGCTCATCCATCAGCCCATCCAAAAGACTCTCCGGTGGGACTCTCTACCTGTGGTAGGCTGAATAATGGTCCCCCAATGTTACCCATGTCCTAATCTCTGGAACCTGTAAACATTACCTTCTAT